TTTCTGCTCTAATTCTTATTATTTCCCTCCTTTTACTGACTTTGGGCTTTGTTTGTTCTTCTTTTTCTAATTCCGTTAGGTGTCGTTTGAGATTGTTTATGTAAGGTTTTTCTTGCTTATTGAGTTGAACCTGTATTGCAATGAATTTCCCTCTTAGGACTGCCTTTGCTGCGTCGCAAATAATTTGGTACTGTGTGTTTTCAATTTCATTTGTCTCCTGATAGTATTTGATTTCTTCTTTAATTTCTTCAATAATCCATTGTTTGTTCAGTAGCATGTTGTTTAGTCTCCACATTTTTGGCCCTTTCCCAGCTTTATTCTTGTAGTTGATTTCTAGTTTCATAGCATTGTGATCAGAAAAGATGCTTGATATTATTTCAACCCTCTTGAACTTATTGATGCTTGCTTTGTTTCCCAAGATATGGTCTATCCTTGAGAATGTTCCATGTGTGCTTGAGAAGAACGTGTAACCTGCTGTTTTTGGATGAAGTGTCCTATATATATCAATTAGGTCCATCTGATCTAATTTTTCATTTAATTCTATAATTTCCTTGTTGATTTTCTGTCTGGATGATCTGTCCATTGGTGTTAATGGGGTGTTGAGGTCCCCTACTATTATTGTATTGCTGTTGATGGCTCCTTTTAGTTTTGTTAATAGCTTCCTTATGAATTTTGGTGCTCCTGTGTTAGGTGCGTATATATTTCTAACTGTTATGTCATCTTGGTGGAGCGTCCCTTTTATCATTATATACTGCCCCTCTTTGTCTTTCTTTATCTGTTTTGCTTTGAAGTCTACTTTGTCTGATATAAGTATGGCGACACCTGCTTTCTTTTGTTCATTATTAGCTTGGAGTATTGTCTTCCACCCCTTCACTCTGAGTCTGTGTTCGTCTTTGGGGCTGAGGTGTGTTTCCTGGAGGCAGCATGTTGTTGGGTCTTGTTCTTTGATCCATCCTGCCACTCTGTGCCTTTTGATTGGAGAGTTCAATCCATTCACGTTTAGTGTGATTATTGAAACGTGGGGGCCTACTGTTGCCATTTTATCACTTGTTTTCTGGTTCTTTTGCATTTTGTCCTGATGGAGAGCTGTTACTTTGTGTTATTGACCTTCTGCTTATCTCCTTTGTTTTGGATTTTGTAACCCCTTTCCTTTTTTTGATTTTTCAGGAATGAGTTTCTTCCTGAGCAATTCTTGAAGGGGAGGTTTTGTGGTGATGAACTCCCTTAACTTTTGTTTATCTGGGAAAGTTTTTATTTCTCCATCGTATTTGAAGGATATTTTTGCTGGGTAGAGTATTCTTGGCTGCAGGTTTTTGTCCTTCAGAGTTTTGAATATTTCATTCCAATCTCTTCTAGCCTGTAAGGTCTCTCCTGAGAAATCTGCTGATAGCCTTATGGGGTTTCCTTTGTAAGTTATTTTCGTCTGCCTGGCTGCCCTTAGTATTTTCTCTTTGTAGTTGACTTTTGCTAGTTTCACTGCTATATGTCTTGGGGTTGGTCTTCTTGCATTAATAAAGTTTGGAGATCTATTGGCTTCTGTCACGTGAAGTTCCATCTCTCTTCCCACGTATGGAAAGTTCTCAGCTATTATTTCTTTGAACAGGCCTTCTGCCCCCTTCTCCTTCTCTTCTCCCTCTGGTATACCTATAATCCTTGTGTTGCATCTCTTAATTGAGTCAGATAATTCTCGGAGAGTTTCTTCATTTCTTTTTAGTCTTAATTCTCTCTCCTCCTCTGCCTGCAGCATTTCTATATTCCTATCCTCCAGATTGCTAATTCTGTCCTCCATATTATCGACCCTACTGTTCAGAGAGTCTGGATTTTTCTTAATCTCCTCCATTGTGTTCTTCATCTCCAATATTTCTAATTGGTTCTGCTTTATAGTGTCAAGCTCTTTTGTGACATAGCTCCTGAACTCATTGAGTTGTCTACCTGAATTCTCTTTTAGGTCGTTGAGTTTTTTCATAATGACAGTTTTGAAATCATCGTCATTTAGGTTATAGATTTCATTATCTTTGGGATTGTTTTCTGCATGCTTATCATTTTCCTTCTGTCCTGGAGATTTAATATATTTTTTCATACTGCTTGATGGCATGGATTTGTGCCTCCACATAGGGATAGAGTTTAGTCGCTGCTTCCACTTGTTGCGACTGGTGTGGGGGAGGGACAGCTTTTTAGACTGCCCCAACTAGGAAACCTGTCAGCTGTTACTGACTGGGCCTGGACCCCTCCTCATAGTCACAGTGGCCCTGTGGGGTCCCTCGTCAGTTGTGGGGGCAATTGCAAGGGGGCCTCAGGCTGCTGGTACCTACTGCTACAGCCCACCTAGACGCACACCCTCCTTGTGGTCTGCAGCAGTGTTGTGGGCTTTCCCATCAGCCAGGAGCAGGATCACCTATAATCTCTGATTTGTCCCTAACAGAGCCCACCAGATCACACTTGTCCACTATAGGTCCCAGCAGAGCTATGGGTATCTTCTGCAGTCTGTCGTTAGCTCACCTAGCTGTGCTACTTTTGCCCCAGGGCCTTCCCACCTTGTGATTGCCAGTCGGGACCTCTCCACTAGTGCTGTGCAGAGGCTTTCACTGAGGCTGCTGTAAGAACCTGGAGTTCCCCCCGGGCTACGTAGCCATTTCACTGGAGCTCTACTCTGCCCCACTTCACTCTCATGGGATCTCTGGGAGCCCCTTGCCTCGTCTGGGACACGGCCAGAGTCTGTGGGCCTGGCAGTGGCTTGTAAGCTGCTGCCTTGTGGGGAATTCTGCCCTAGGGAGCTTCCCTGTGTTCCGAATGCTGGGCGGAGCCTCCCTGCCAATGGTGTGCAGCGGCCCTCCCTGCTGGGGGGATGTGGGACCCTGGAGTGAACCCCTGGGCTGCAGAGCCGGGTGTTGGAGCTCCACCCAGTCCCCAAGTGTGTCCATGGGATGTCCAGGCACCCCCTGCAGCGACCCATGCACTGGAGACCGTGAGCCCAGTGGCAGCTTGTAGTCTGGACATGCCCCAGGGGATCCGCCCACCAGGAGCTCCCCTTTGTCCTGGATTCTGGGTGTGGCCTCCCTGCTAATGGCGAGCAGAGGCTTTCCCTGCTAGGGAGATGCGGGACCCTGGAGCCTTCCCCCATGCTGCAGAGCTAGGCACTGGAGCTCCAGCCGTGTCCCTAAGCAGGTCTACAGGAAGTCCAGGTGCCCCTGCACTGCACCGTGCACCTGAGACCGTGAGCCCAGTGGCAGCTTGTGGTCTGGAGCTGACCCGGGGGATCGGCCCACCGGGAGCTTCCCTTTGTCCTGGATTCTGGGCGTGGCCTCCCTGCTAATGGTGAGCAGAGGCTTTCCCTGCCAGGGAGGTGCAGGATCCCCGAAGCCTTCCTCTGCGCTGCAGAGCCAGGCGCTGGAGCTCCAAACGTGTCCTCAAGCATGTCTACGGGAAGTCCGGGCGCCTCCTGCACTGAGCCGTGTGCCAGAGACCGTGAGCGGTCTGGTGCTGTGCCAGGCCTGCCAGGAGCTTCTCTTTGTTCTGGCTTCTGGGTGGGGCCTCCCTGCTAATGGCAAGCAGACGCCTTCCCTGCTGGTGGGTGTGGGACCCTGGGGAATTCCCTCTGGGCTTAGGTGTGATCGCGGGGGGCTTGGGTAGGAGTGTTGTCACCTGTTTCCACCGTCGCTCTGCTGGTGAGTGCACACTCCTGCCCTTGGTGTGTGGCGATGCTATGGGGGAGTCTGCTGGAAGAGAGCCTCCTGCAGGAACTAGGCTGTCCGGAGGTTGGGGGTCAGGGTTCGGAGAGTTTTCACTTATTTCCACCTCCTCCCAGGGGGAAGTCCGTCCGCCTTCTGATGTGTACTAGCATGAGACTTTTAGGTGTCTTGAGATGCTATCTGGATATCCTTTGTTAATCGGTGAATGTCCAATTAGTTGTAGATTCAATGGGGGAGAGACAAAGAAGACCTCTCACTCCGCTATCTTGGTCCCGCCCCCTTGATCAATAATCTTTTGATAGAAAGCACTGCTGATCAAAATATTGTCTCTCGGTGCCAGAGTGGTTGTTGCCTGCCCTGGGTCCATCATGTCCCTTAGTGTTAAGCTTTTACTTTGTAGTAATGAAGTTTTCTATCTCCTTGTGAGTCGGTTTGTGCACAGTTATCTAGAAATGTGTCTATTCTGCTTAAATATTGAAATTTGTTGCCACAGACATATTATCATTTTTGTATCTGCATCAGCTATAGTTATGTCTCCTTTTCCATTTCTGAAATTGGCCCACTCCCGATTTCTCTCTTGTTATTTGAGAATTCTTGTCAGAAGTTTGTTAATTGTGTGAGTCTTTTCAAAGAGCCACATTTTGGCTTTATCTATACTTTCTATTTTATGTTTGTTTTCTATGAATCTGCTCATTTTGTCTTTATTATTTACTTCTTTCCACTTTCTGTGGGTTACTTGCTCTCCTTTTTCTAACTTTTTGAAATAGATATATAGCTCAGACCATTTCAACCTTTTTTCTTTTCAAATAGAAGCATTAAGGCTATAAAGCTTCCTCTAAGCACTGCTTTAACTGCATTCCCCAAGTTACCATGTGGTCACAATGTTACCTGATACCCATTTGGATTTCTGCTTTGATTCATGCATTTTTAGAATTCTGTTTCTTAATTTCTCCAAATGACTTTGTCTTGTTATCTTTTTGTTATTGCTTTCTGCAGGGGAGATGGAGATGTTGGAAAGCAAGAAGGCCATTCTTACAAGAAGGCAGAGATGATACCATTATTTTTTTTAACTTGGAAAAAAACCTATAGACATAAAGTTTTCCTTAAGGAAGAACAGTTTTTACCTTCAAATAGATGAGATAGTGACTCAGACACCAGGCTGATGAGTGACAGACAGCCTGGTGCTGGCAGGACAGAAATTCTGGGTCCTACCTGGCAGAGGGGACTAGCTTTGATGAATGGAAATCTCCTTCTGAGAACAAAGTGAGGGAAACACAAACCACTGATAGATTCTTCCTTCTCTACCCACAGATCTTCTGTATCAAGATGTCCTGACCTGACAGCACCATGCCTCGGCCCCCAGGGCCTCACCCTGCCTCTACATCTGCCTCCAAGTCCACAGAACCTTCCTCCCTCTTGGACCTTCTCCCCCAAGAGCTCTTGGATCTGACCCATCTTCTCTACTGGCCTCCAACCCCAGGGGATGAAGGGGACCTTTTGGCCTCCACCAGCCCCCAGACCTCCACCTACCACCTGAGAGGTCCTGCCCAAGCCAGCTGTGCCCTGGGAGGATTCCTGGAGGTTATCCTTGTGGCCAGAGACCACCAGGGCAGACCCAAGACCCACAGTGAGGATCTATTTTGGGCACAGCAGCTGACTCCTGATGTGAAGGTTGGATCCCTGGGGATGTCCAGGTTCTGGAGAATGGCACATACCTGTTGTCCTTCCCTCTGCTCTGGCCTGGAAATGCTCAGGTGCAAGTCAAGCTGTTCCACTCCAACAAGGCAGTTGGAATTTTTTGGAGAATCTGAAGAAAGCAAAGGGCCACAATAGATTTCATGAGGTATTTCCAGGGAATATGAAGATAGGTCAATAGAAAGTACCAAAACTGAAATACAAGGGCAGAGAGAGAGAGAACAGAACGTGAAAGAACTTTTGGTAAATACTCAAAGGTCTAGGATATGGGTAATTGGAATCCCAGGAGGAGAAGAGAGAGAAGAGTTGTGCAGAAGAAATATTTGAAAAGACAATGGGTAAAAAATTTCTAAAAATATAAACTATTAACCCACAGATCCAAGATATTGAGTAAACTCCAAGAAGAACACACACACACACACACACACACACACACACATCCCCTTAAACAAATCACTTTTAAACCAATGTAAACCAAAGAGAAAGAGAAAAATCTTCAAGGTAGCCAGAGGAAAAATATGGCAACTTACATCAAGAGGAAGAAAGATATGAGTTACAACAGAATTACATCTTCAGGTAAGAGGCTAAAAGAAAATGGAATGACATCTTTCAAGTGCTAAAGGAAAAAGCTACCAACCCAAAATTCTATACTCAGTAAAAATGCCTTTTTCTGACAAACCAATGCTGGGGAGGATATGGGGTAACTGGAATTCTCAAACACTGCTGATGGGAATGCAAAATGGTACCGCCATTCTGGAAACAGTTTGGCAGTTTCTTATAAAATTAAATATTACACTTACTATACAACCCAGAAATCATACTCCTGGGTACTTGCACCAAAGAAATGAAACCTATGCTCATACACAAAAGCCTGTGCATGAGTGTTTATAGTGACTTTATTCATAATCACTCAAAACTGGGAACGACCCAAATATCCTTCAAATACAACACCAATATAAACAAATTGATACATCCTTACTGTGGAATACTACTCAGTAATAAAAAGGAACAGACTACTGTTAGATTTAACAACATGGATGAATCTTTAACATATTGTGCTAAGTGAAAAGAAGCCAAACTCAAAAGGCCACATATTCTATGATTCTATTTATATGACATTCTGGAAAAGGTAAAACTCTTTGAAAAGGAAACAGATTAGTGGTTGCTGGAGTCTGGAGATGGAGGGGGAGAAACTGACTACAAACGATCATGAGGGAAGTTTTTAGGGTCATGGAATTGTTTTATGTCTTAATTGTACTTGCAATTACACGACCATATATAAGTGTCAAAAGGTATAGTTATGACACTACAAAGAGTAAATTTTACTCTATGCAATTATACCTCAATAACACCAAAATTTTTTTAACGACAAAGATATTTTTAATATGTTTAAATCCATTGATAATCTGTCAACTTTTAAGGAATTATCAGAGGGAAAAATCTTAGTGAGCCTGGGAACCCAGAGACGAGGGTGGTAATAGACCACTGAAGCTTACTTTCCCCTTGGGGGCATTTGCCAAACTCAGCAAACTTGAGATGGGTGTTCAGGAAGCCAAGAGCAGGAGACAATGTGGGGAGCCTTGGACAATGTGGGTAGTCTTACAAGAGATTGCACACCGGCGTAAAGCCAGGGTCTCCAAGTTCTACACCTTCAAACTGTGTGAACTAGAAACCACCACCCTACATCTAACCAGAAGACAGCAAAGAACCTGACTGTCGTGGACAGACCATGGTCCAGAGTGGTCAGAAAAATGTCTTCCTAGAGAATTGATACCCACAAGCCAGCCCTCAGGTGGATGTGCAGCCCAAATTCACAAACCAGAGTGGTCTGGAAAATCTCAGGCTGTGTTAGCTTAACAGGGTCTGGGAACTTATTGGCCTAGATTTTTGGCAGAAGCAAATACTAATTTCTTTACAGAATCCCATTATTGCCTGGGATTCTTTCATGCCAGTTTCGTAACCTCTGAATCCAGTACCAAATTAATAAACAAGGGATCTTGTTTGTGTCACATTTAGATTAACCATAAGGTGTTAATACTAATAGAGGTAACTTACCAAGAACAAAACACATTTATGACTTAGATCCATTATCTGTTTTTTTACATTCTTTGTGGGCTTAAAACCATCTTTCCCATTGGTTACTTTTTGATCTTCCTCTTTCCAATTTCTTCTTTTATTTTTTTTGCTCTTGTTAGCAGCTTCAGCTTAACTTGTCATTCCAATGTCTAATATTAAATTAACTCTGACTCGTGCTTCTGTTTTTATTCTTTTTCCACCCAGCTTTATTGAGGTATGATTGACAAATAAAAATTGCATACATTTAGGTTGTACAACATGATTTCTTAATGTGTACAATATGATGACTTAATATATGTATACATTGTGAAATGATTACCACAGTCAAGCTAATTAACCCATTTATCACCCTCACAGTTACCATACTCTCATGTGTGGCAAGAACAAAGATCTCCTCTCTTAGCAAATTTCAAGCATGCAACATGGTGTTATTAACTTTAATCACCAGGCTGTACATTAGATCCCCGGAAATCATTCATCTTATAACTGGAAGTTCGTACCCTTTGACCAACATCTCATTTCCCCTACTCCTCAGCCCCTGGAAGTCACCATTTCATTCTCTGGTTCTATGAAGTTTTTTAGATTCCATGTATAAGTTAGACCATACAGTATTTGTCTTTCTGTGTCTGGCTTATTTCACTTAGCATAATGTCCTCCAGGTTCATCCACATTGTCACAAATGGCAGGATTTTCTTCTTTTTTAAGGCTGAATAATATTCCTCTGTGTGTTTCTACATACACACACATATATCTCACATTTTCTTTATCCATTCATCTGTTAATAAACACTTAGGTTGTTTCCATATCTTGGGTGTTATGAATAATGCTGCAATGAACATGGGAGTGCAGATATCTGTTTGAGATACTGATTTCATTTCCTTTGAATATATACAAGGAAGTGGGATTGCTGCATCCTATTGTAGTTCTATTTTTAATTTTTTGAAGAAAGTTCACATGATTTTCCATAATGGCTATACCAATTTACACTCTCACAAGCAGTGTACAAGGGTTCACTTTCCTCCGCGTCCTCTCCAATACTCACTGAATCTTGTCTTTTTTATAATAACCATCCTAACAGGTATCAAGTGATATCTCATTGTGGCCTTGATTGCATTCCTCTGAAGATAAGTGACACTGAGCACCTTTTCATGAACCTGTTGGCCGTTTGTATGTTTTCTTTGGAAAACTGTCTTTTCATGTCCTTTACCAATTTTTAAATTGAAGTATTTTTATTATTTGGCTATTGAGTTCTTTATATATTTTGGATATTAGCTTCTTATGAGATATATGGTTTGCAAGTGTTTTCACCCATTCCATAGGTTACCTTTTCATTTTGTTGATCGCTTCCTTTGCTGTACAGAAGCTTTTTAGTTTGATGTAGTCCTGTTTGTTTATTTTTGCTTTTGTTGCCTTTGCTTTTGGCGTCATATCCAAAAAATCATGACCAAAACAGATGTCAAAAAACTTTTTCCCTATGTTTATTTCTAGGAGTTTTACAGTTTCAGGTCTTACATTTAAGTCTTTAATCCATTTCGAGTTAATTTTTGCATATGGTGTAAGATAAGGGTACAATTTCACTCTTTTGCATGTGGATACCCAGTTTTCCCAACACTATGTCATTATTCATAAGACTGAGTACTATATGTGAAAATGAATTACAGCTATCCACAATAAATGAATAAACCTCAGGATCATAATTTTAAGTGATAAAAAGAAAGTTGTAGAAGAATATTTACAATATGATTTCATTTATTTTAAGTTCGAAAACATACAAAAATAATCCTTGTGTAGAAATGCAAACACATTTGGTAAGACTACCAAAAAATTCAAGGAAATAAAGAACCCCATTCAAGATAGTGGTTGCCTCTGAGGGGCCAGGAAAGTAATAGGATTGGAGAAAAACATAATGGAGACTTCAAAGTAATGATAATATATTTTTCTTAAATTGGGTGGTGAGTATGTTGCATTATGGTTCTTCATACCTTTTAGTCTAGAGATGTTCTCGTGACCAATCAACAACAAAAAAATTTATTTAAGGTGCGTGAAGAGAAAGAAGAGCCCTCAGTATGGACTGAGAGGGAAGTGGGCAGTAAGTGCAGAATGGAGCAGTGTATGGTCAAGGAAGCCAAGGGGGCATGTAAGTTTCAAGAAGGAATGTCAAGTGCTACTAGGCAGTCAGGTAAAATGAGCACTAAGTGTCCCATGGAGTTGGCAATTATGACGTTCATGAGCAACTTCGTCCAGAGCCCTTTCAGTGGAGTGGTCAGAGTGGGAGCCAGACTGAGCAAGACAGAGAATGGAAAATGCTGAAAAGGAATCAGCAAGGATATAAAGAAAATGTCTAGTAGGAGAGTGGGGGACTGCTTCTCTTCTGGAGGTGAGCCTGGGTGCAGATGCTGACAAGATTTCTGGTAAGGTGTCTTGAAGCAGAGATGGCTGGAACAACGGTCTTTGCTTTCTCTGTGAGGTTAGAAGTGCTTCCTCCTTCTGGGGCTGAGGAGGGAATGGTGTGGTGTGATTGACAGGACTGCCTTGGGGAATGGGAGAAGGCATAAAAAATGTGCATTTAAGACCTATCTACAACTGGAGATGGTGAACATTTAGCATCACCAATTCATGCACACACCCATTGTGGTAGATCGCAACCACGAAAATCTCCACAGATCCTTTACAGCTCCTTCCATCTAGAGCTGGAAGCTATCTCCTTATTCCTGAATCTGGACTGTCATTATGACTTGCTTTGACCAACGGAATGTGGTGTAAGAGATATTGTGTATTTCTGAGCCTAGACATCAACTGGCTTTACAGCTCCTGCTCGAGCACTGGGAACGCTTCTGCCACCATGTGAAAAAGCCTGAGCTGGCTTATTGGAGGTTGAGAAACCATACAGAAAGGGCCCTCAGCCATCCCACCAATTCCAGCTGAGGCCCCTGATGCATGAGTGAGGCCATGATAGACCACTCACCTCCAACCGAGACAGTCAGATATAAAGTCCAGAATTGTAAAAAATAATAAACGTTTGTGGTTTTAAGTCACTAGGTTTTGGGGTGATTTGTTATGCAATAAAAGCTAATTGGTATACCATCAGTTCACTCAACAATTTTTAAAGCACACTCATAACTGCCTGGTTATTTCTAGTCATTTTCCTTTTGTCTGAGTTTTCATCCACTCCTTGATCCTTTTAGAATGCAAACTCAAGAAAAAATTTCTCCAAACAAGCTCATATGTCTCCTATTACTAGAAAAGGAAAACTATGAAACATTATTTGTGAGTGTGTATTGCTAGGAGGTTTAGGGCCAAATATAGTTTTCAGTTTCAGGAAGTGTCCTGATAAAGCTCCCAAGTTCCTGATAAAATTATCTTTGCCTTCTACCTAGTTTCTAATCTCTCTTTTAATCTTTAATTATACCATATAGTATGCATATATCTATGGTGGCCACTTGGAATCCTTTTTGGAAAAAGGAGTAGTTAAAATTACGAATAATATTCTCGTACCTGAACTCAGGCTTTCAGCCCCTCACCATCACCTTCATTCTTGTCACAGACACTTGCCTCTTCAGGAATGTGACAAAGCTCTCCTTCGGATTCTTTCTCTGATCCACAGCCAGATGGCAGCCAAGAGAGGCAGCAGCTTGGGTGAGTGCATCTGGGATAGTTAGGGGTAGAGGTTAGCCCACCTGGAGGGTTCTGTCCATAACTGAGATTAGCCTCTCCCTGCAGTGGTTAAGGGATGGGCAGTGGAGTCTGGAAGCCTGCATTCACATGCATGCTCTGACATTTACCAACTCACTTCACTTAATTTTCCCATCTAATGTTAAGAGGATGGTTAAAGTATATGCATCTGGAACAGAGTAAACACTCAAAAATTGTTAGCTCTTTTGACTAATTTAGCCTGTTCCATTTTTCCCATTCCTATAGCCCTGTCCCTGTGGCGCCTGTGCAGCTCTGAGTTCCTGGTCCCAAAATTCTCTGGCTTCTATCACTGAGATGTGTAGTGCTCACTGTCCTGCTCTGGCCACTCCTCCTCCACTGTTGACAGCATCCTGGGCTGCCTGACTGACTGCTCATCCACATGGTGGGGGACTCCACACTTCGGCAGTGGTGGGAGTATCTGAAGGAGGGTGCAGGCGTGTCTGGAAGGCAGCAGGCAGTCCAGCCAAACTGGAGTGGAGAGTCTGCCTTGAGGAGGACTGGGTGAGAAAGTTTGGGTTATTCTGCAGGCCTTGTGGAGCCATTGAACATTGCGAGTAGAGGAATCTAATCATATGGGTCAAGTTTTCTTAAGAGGTTTCACAAAAAGAAGCTTGAAAGAAACTTCTAAGAGGACAATCGCTCTGAGCCCAGTCTCCTAATATCTTAAGCACTGTTTTCCCTGTCATCAACCCTTCTCCACACCGTCCTCACTGCCTCCCTGTAATGGATCATTTCCACCAGTGTTTGCATCCATTCAGGGCTATTCTTGTTGTAAGTAACTGAAGACACAGTTAAAGCAGCTCCGGGAGGAAACGAGTTAATTGGCCCAAGTGGCTAAAGAGTTAAGGAGTGAATCTGGCTTTCAGCAAAGACTGAAGCTGGTCATCAGGTCTGTTTCTCTTAACTGCTCACTTCTGCCCCCTTCTGTTTAGCTTCATTCCTGGTCTGCATTTGGTGGCCCAGCAGCAATGGGCTCTTCCAAGAAGGTGGCAAGATGACCCATCCTCCCATGTCTGTCTTGCAGGAAAGAACTTGACTTTCTTCCACTAGCTCCAGCAAAAACCCTCGGATTATCAAGACTGGACTAGTTTAAGTGACCCATCCATCCTGAGGACAATCAATGGGGCCAAAGCAATGTGTTGCTCTAGATGACGAGGCCTGAGTAATGGGCAGAATATCCATGTTCTGGAAAGTACGTCGAAACTGGAATTTTTGTTTGTACAGGTTGAGTGCATAGCTCTAAATAACCAGCTCCCTCCTCTGTCATCCTCCCCATAGCCCTGAAGCTGGTGGATCTACATGCCAGATATCAGATGGGGCCCCTGATGGCCGTGGAGATCACTCGGGGCATAGTGCTACACTGGCGAGCCCACAGCTGGCCCCTGTGCTGCCTCTGCACACCAGGGGCCTCTCTGCGCTCCATGGTCTGGGAGCCTGGTGACCAAGCTGGGGGCCCCTGCATGTGGTGGTGCTGGACCTGGGTGCCCACTTCACCACCTTCCCCACACCCATCTTTGTGCAACAAATGGCAGGGACTCAGGTTGCTGCAGCTGCACTGCTGGCCCAGGAACCCCGTACTCTTGTGATCATCAAACTGGCCAACACTGGCTACCAGTCTGTGTATAGCAGTGACTAGTTCACCTGCCAAATGAATTGGCTCCTCTCAGGTGCCTTTGCTGACCTCCATGTGGACTTTGTGGATACCTGGGAAATGACCTCCAGGCTGGCCCTGCCAGACAGCATCCACTCAAGGCCACTCATCATCCACAATGAGGTGGACTTCCTCCTGTCCTTCATCTGCACCCCCGGAGTGCTTCTGCAGGTACTGAGCTGGGTGGGTGGAGAGCTGGGGCAATGATCAAGCCTGGAAGCCCTTCCCCTCAGCTGACTGTACCTCTCCTCTTACCTCCACCTAATGCACAGGCAAAAAATCAACCAGCAAGAATTGGGATGTGGGTGGTGGCAGGAGAGGGAAGCCTGGAAGTGGTCCAATGCATCTTAAAAGGTTTAGTTCCCATGTGGAAAAGCAGTGCTGAGGGGATCAGAGGGTGGGAACAGAGTCAACAACATCTATCACATCAGTACATATGAGGACTGTGATATTCTGTGCCGGAGTCTCCATTGAGAGAGTTAACCAGCTTTGCAAAGATATAAGAGATGGATTCCATTCCAGTTGATCAGAGCCACCTTGGTGGAAAGCCTGCCTATATATATAAAGATTTTTATGGAATTATTTGTAAAATAAAATATTTCTCCTAGTTCTAAAATGTAATACATGTTTTTTGTAGAAAATTTGAAGTACCAAAAAATTAACAAACAAAATAAAAATCACCTAGAATCCCATGACTTGGAGATAATCACTTTTTTTTTCTGACAGTCTTAAGTTCTTTATTGCCTTTTTTGGGAGTGGTGAATAGACAATCAAGGAAAAAGAATTGTGACTCACATTTTGGTCGTTATCAAGGGAAAGACAAAGGAACAACATAAAGACATGGAATCTACAGCAAGCATTTGGTGGAGACAGAAAGCCTGGGTGGAGGTGATCAATGATCTAGAGGATGAGAAGAAATCCTCCAGATTGTTTCTGAAATCTTGGACAGGGCATTGTTTTTCCACTGGATGTAGAAGATACGCAGCTCTATATTTTCAGATGATCCCCCACTGACCTGTGGTCCCATGACAGTAGTAATTGTGTCTTCTCTTAGGGCTGTTGTGAGAATTTAGGGAGATGAGGTGGATGGGAACAGAACAGAGCTCTGTTCTCTGATTGTTCTTTCCACTCCCAGGAAGGGGCTCTTAGTGAACCATGAGGCAGAGCTCATAGATTGGTGGGATGTTGCCAAAGCCTGAGACCTTTGGTGTGATGTCGATGTCAGAAGGTGGCACCAGTGGGTGTAGGGAGAAGTTCTGTAAGATGGAGGTGAAGTAGAGAAAGAGTTCCATGTGGGCCATGGCCTCACCCCAGCAGATGTGCTTTCCAGGGGAAAAAGACACAAAGGCTTCACTCTTCTTGAAGTGGCCCTGGTCATCCAAGAAGTGTTGGGGATAGAAGGTGCCTGGGGTCTTTGAGGACTGAGCCAATCAGGGGAAACTTGTCACTACCCTTGGGCAGAAAGTAGTCTCAGAAATGAGTGTCCTGGATGACATTATGGGGAACACCCATGGGCATGATATCTGTCAGTCTCTGTATCTCGTAGATCATGGCATCTGTGTAGGGCATCTTGACCTAGTCATCCACACTTGGGATCTGGTGTGGTCCTATCACCTGGTCAATCTCTTCATGGATCTTGGCTTCCACCCCAGGATGCTTCATCATCAGTAGCAATCCATAGCATAATGTAGAGCTCACAGTCTCTGTGCCAGCAAAGAAGAGGTTGAAAGTGGTGAGGACCAAGTCCTTGAGGTTGAATTCCATGTGGGGTTTAATTATATCCTGGTACATCTTGATGAGGAAGCAATTAATGAAGTCCCGAGGATTTTGAGGGTCAAGGGATGCTTCTTTAATCTTGACCCTAGAGGCAACGAAGTCCTTGAGCTCCTCTACCAAGGTAGATGTGATTGTGTCTTCCTGGAAAATATTGCATAATTCTGGAATACATGTCATATAGCTGTGCCCACAATGTGCTCATCTCAGTGAAACTCTCACTGATCATCTGCAGCAGCTTTAGGAACTGCTTGTCCTCATAGTCAAAGCAGCTTCCAAAAATGACGGAACTGATGATGTTGGAGACAGTGTGGCTCAGGAAGAAAGTACGTTCAATGTAGGCACCCTTGGTCCTCCATAATTCCTCCACTAGGAAGCCAGCCTCTTCCTGGATTGGCTCCTCAATGTTCCGCTTTCTCACCCCAAGGTCCCGAAGGATGGTCAGGGAGAAGCATCAGAGAATCTTCCATCATTCTCCATTAGCCATAACTGCACCATGACCTTGGAAATTTCACTCTACCATAGCCAATTCTCCAGGGCCACTGAAATAATCTGCTTGGTCTACCAGCAGTAGACCACTTCATGTCCACATGAAACAACTACCGGCCCGGGGACCCAGGTACATGGTGAAGACTGGACCATATTTCTCCCTGAGCTTCATGAAAAACTGAAAGGTGGAAACAGTATGGACTTGCAACAGGTTCCCCAGGAAAGGTATTGCTGTGGGAACTGGGGGCAGCTTTCCTCCTTTGTTGATCTGTTTCCAAGCAATGAGGATGAGCAGACAAGACAAGCAGAATGCCAGAAAGATGGTGAAGGCTCCTCCCAGCTCCATGATGCCAGGTCAAAGGGCCGTGTTCGGGGCACCAGATCCTGTCTGGTAGGCTCTGGGTGCATCTTGGTGAGAGGTGAGACCTCTCTAGAGACTGAGACACTGGTGGCGGCCATTGTTGTAACACAGTACAGGCATGCTGACACAGATGCTGGCAGAGGTCACCAGAGCTCTTACCCTGGACTGGAGATAATCACTTTTTTTTTTTCTGAGGAAGATTAGCCCTGAGCTAACATCTGCCAGTCCTCCTCTTTTTGCTGAGGAAGCCTGGCCCTGAGCTAACATCAGTGCCCATCTTCCTCTACTTTATACGTGGGACGCCTACCACAGCGTGGCATGCCAAGCGGTGCCATGTCCGCACCCGGGATCCGAACTGGCGAACCCTGGGCCGCTGAGAAGCGGAATGTGCCCACTTAACTGCTGCGCCACCGGGCCAGCCCGATAATCACTTTTGAAGTACAGTTCTTTCCAAAAATTTTTCAATATGTGAAAAAAAATTTCTATCCTTCTTCCTTTTTTTTTTTTAACTTGAGGCATACATCATGGGGTTTTTCCAAGGTCGTAATGGACATTAAAGAGGATTTTGGTACGCCGGTTGGTCAGCCCAAGTCCTCCAAGAAGCAGGTACCAAAAGGATTAGAAGTGCAAATATGTTTGGAGGAAACGCCAGTGAGAGGTAATGCGGAGGTAGACAAGTAAGGCTGGGAGAGTTGTCAGACCATGATGCAAGGCCGACCTGGAATAAAGGAGAGAGGGAAGGAAGCTTGGGTAGAAGCATTCTAGGTCACTGTGCAGTCTAAGGAAAGATTGGCAAGATCATTGGGAAGTCCTTGAATCAAAGCTGAAAAGCATTTGAAATCAAAGCATCTCCCAGGAATGGCCAGCCTCAGTATCCCTGCCCCACTCGGTCACTGGATGGCAGCAGCCCATGGGAAGAGAGGCCTCACTAGGAGGGATTTCAGAGTATAGAAGCTGGGGCTCTTGGTCAAGTATGATCCCTGTAGTCAGATTGCAAAATGCATTCTCATGGCCACCAGGGCCCACCTCTTGCACTCGGCAAATCTACTTTTCCATACAGGGTCAGAAAGCACCTCCTCCGTGGTTCTCATGGGCTTTACTTCCTGAGAGAAGACTCAGAAGAGGAAAGTTAGTGAGATGACACACAGCCCTGATTGCTGCTGTGCATCTCAGAACTGCAACTGGTACTCATCTTCTCCTTCCTCCACTATTCATTCTACATCCCTTCACCCTTAACTGTCACACCTCAGCAGATCTTGGTGGCCTACCTGGTGGCGTGGCCCCAAGCTTCATTCCTGAGGGACGTGACTCATTGATAATCATGCCCTTCTCTGTCTGGGTTTGCTACACATGTTGGTTCCAAGTTACAATGGTGTGTGGGAGTACCAGGAGGTGGCCAAGAGGATCATTTGCATTTCACACAGATTCCTCTCTGCTCTCACACTGTGCAAGTAGATCTCTCTCCTCCTGCTAATCAGGATCAATTATCCCTGTCAAGTTGTTAACTCATCTTGTGCAAGGAGTCCAAAGGCACTGGTGGCAGTAGTCACTTAGTTCAAGGACATCCTTGCTGTATCCTCAAACAAGAGTGTGCCCCTTTGGGCATTAGAACCTCCAACCCTGGAGGAAGCACATATTCCCCCAGTGAGTCATTAGGTGTGATGCTTCCAACCCTTGATTCCTATTGGAGACACAGCATCATTTAGGGGTCTCTGATCTAACAAATAAATGAAGGAAGGCATGCCATCCTATTAGAGTGTTTCCACCAAGCTGGGGCTTCAGCTGCACCTTCCGAAGGCCATTCCAAGATACTGTAAGGCTGGCTCCCTCTGACTGATGCAGTATGTGATAGGAATGGCAGGTTCCATGGTCAGGAATTTAGTCCCACTCCTCTGTGAGGTGAATCACCTGGTTGGATACTGACCTGCATGGGATTCCATGTCACTGGATCAAGCCATCAATAAGCCCCAAGATAGTAGTTCTGGCTTAGGCTCTGTGGCAGGAAAAGGAAACCCATACCTGGACTAGTATCCAAACCTGTGAGGATGAACGGCTGCCTCTTTCAGAGCATGGCCGTTGGGACCCTGGGTTAATTATGCTGTCTGTAGTTTGAGGTCTGTAGGCCATTTTCTCATGGCTGCCACAGTCCTCATGTAGCTGAATTATATTTCCTGATTTAAAAAGAAACACAAAGCAATGTTAAGCTTTTCCAAATGAACTTTTGAACCCTTTATTTTTTAAAGTTTGAATTAAAGGGATGATGTGGCAGATGTGAATACCTTCCCACTTTAGTCCATTCTTCCCTTCCTCCTTACTAAAAAATCTTGATTTTTTTCCAGAGTAGCCAAGTTCTTGGTGAAAAAGCCACATTTCCCAGACTTTCTTGCAACTAGGGGTTGCCATGTGACATAGTTCTAGCCAATGACCTATAGAAGCTGACGTCTCTGAGTTGGGCTTCAGGAAAGTTCTTTAACAGGCAGAGAGACTTGGCTGGTACACGTCTTTTGCCCTTTTCTCTTTCTCTTCTTTCACCTACTAAGATGCAGATGTGGTGCTGGAGGGAAGCAGGCATCTTATGACCACAGGGAACAAAGCACGTTCTAAGGTTGGTTGAAAGGAAAAGATACAGGAAGCCAGGGTCCCTGCAGATCTGGTGTCACAAATCTACTGTGTCAGCCTTGGGCTGCCTACTTCCAGAATTTATAATGCTAATGAGTCAGGGTAGTTTTAGGATGTCTGGTGCTGAAGCAATCTGGGGAGGGGTGGTCTTCCTGCAAATGTGTGATTTCTCTGCAAGACAGCAACATCTGTAAAACAAGGACAGCAACTTCTGCAAAACAGAACACATAGTTCCTTTCTGTCTGAAAAACACTTGACAGATTATGTTAGTCATTAACCAGATCCTCAGTAACCCTTTCTTTGCCTGGTTCCTTGGTCACAATATGACCCAGCAATTTCACTTCTGGTTATTTATCTGAAGGAGAGGAAAACACTAACTCAAAAATGTATCTGCATCTCCATGTTCACAGCAGCATTATTTACAAGAGCCAAGACATGGAAACAACCTAA